TCTGTCTTGAAAATCTATGCAGTATTTTAAAAAAATACTTAAACTCACTGTCTTCATCAGTGAATTAACATAACTTAGCAAATTTAGACTAAATAAATAAACTATATTTGATCATAAATAATGCTTTATGATGATATTATGCATAAAGTGTATCAGGCTGCAAAGAACCTAGCTGGATTTCAATGTCAGCTGCTGGCTGTTTCACAACAGTTTCCTGCTTTGCTGTGGGCTTGGGTCAAATTAATACTTGGTTTTAATTTCCTGTCAGATATTCCTTTACTTCTGCAATGGTGGTGGTGAGTCATATTGGCTGGCTCTGTGTTGGCGTGTTTATACCTGAAAGCTGCACACTTGTAGAACCTGTAGAGTCACACCATGATACCAGCAGGATTTTACCCAGCTTCCTTTTTTTCTATAGCGCCTGATAAAAAGCACAATTTGTTTTTTGTTTTTTCTTTGTTTTGTTTTTTCCCAGCTCTTGTTTAATATTTTGACTCTGAACTATGTTGATTTTTATTTCATGTTTTTCTCTCTTTGTCTTCCTGCCAGCCACTGAGCTCTCTTTGCTTTTACGGGAGATGATTCTGAAATTGTTCTCGGAGCATCTCTCTGCCGATGGCAAGGTAATGTTGTCCCTGATGCTCACTGAGTGCATGTTGCTATTTTGTAAAAGCAACAGTGCATTTGGATCTGTGCCACACAGTGTGTACTGTTGCACTGGGCAAGCTGTGTGTTCATATGAAGTTTCACTTTGGCAAACAGAAAAAACTTGTCTGCAAACATTTCTACTGTATTTTTCACTGCAGGTCTTTTTGTGACCTACATTCAAGGTTGTTTGTCAAGATATTTTGACAGGATAATGCTTCTCTGTTACTTTATCCCTGTACAAACGGTTAAATTAAATGCATGTACTTTGTGTCCATGCTCCCACAGTCTGTGGACTATAAAGGCATGTCAGCAAATCCTGTTTTTGAGCGTTACTGTGAGCTAGCTATTCAGCTGCAGAGGGTGGAGTTGCTGTCGCTTAGCCGGGAGGAGAAGCTGGCCTTCTTCATCAATATCTACAATGCCTTAGTCATCCATGGGTACCTACGCCTAGGGGCTCCCACCAACATGTGGCAAAGATACAGAGTAGGACTACACAGCTACACTGTCTCCCCCAGAATTCCTTTGTAATATCAATAAGACTTATGTGCTGAAATTAGGAATGTTTTGAACTGTTTTGTAGTTCTTCAATTATGTGAGCTACCTGATTGGAGGAGAGGTATTCACGCTGCAGGACATTGAGAATGGCATTCTTAGAGGGAACAGAAAAGGTGTCGCACAGCTTCGAAGACCCTTCTCCAAAACGGACCCACGACTTCAAGTATTCACATTTTGATAGCTGAATTTATGTGGTGACAGTTTTCTTTAGTTAACTAAAGGTCATGTCTCTTGTTGTCCACTAGGTGGCACTTCCAGATGCTGAGCCACTGATTCACTTTGCCTTGAACTGTGGTGCAAAGGGCTGTCCACCTATTAAAACATACACACCACAAGTAAGTGATTTCGCTTTAGTTTTTTTGATTCTGAGAAGGCTTAGCTAAAATAAATACACTTGGAAACTCCCTCTTCTGTCACAGTTTTTACAGTTGTGAAATTGTCCCATAGATTTCATATCAGGTTTCCCAAGTCTTGCCTCTTATAATGTCTCCCATAATCACGGCAGGCTGAATGGTCAGAAATTAATTCTTATGTGCTCGCCCCTCTCAGGACATCGACAGCCAGCTCCGCACAGCAGCTGAGGCCTTCCTGGAGAATGATGACGCCTGTGTGGTAGATTCTGTAAAAAAAGAAGTGCACCTAAGTCAGATATTTAAGTGGTACAAAGCTGATTTTGGAGGCACGGATGAGAAGGTATTTTTAAGTTTAATAGCTGTATGTGTGCGTGCACATGTATGGATCCTGAATTTTTCATGTAGGAAAAATAGATGAATTGTTTTTTTAATTTTTTTTTTTTGTTTCATCCCCTTCTATCTCATAGCTGCTGGGATGGGTGCTGGATCACATGGGTGACTCACCAAAGAAGACCAGCCTGCAGGGCGTCGTTTCTGCTGGAAAGACCAAAGTCAGTTTTCTCCCTTATGACTGGAGCTCCAACAGCACCCACTGAGCTCACACACAAATGCATTCACACCTACCTGTATGTACGTCTACATGTTTTACGTCCATTGTCTTCTGATTGAATCTGTACAAAATGGAAAAACACTTATTCTTAACCATGCGTATGTTTTATACAGAACATAATGTATGTCCCTGTGACATGAGGAGCACATTCTGCTCTCATTGTAAGCTCCTACACCCCATCTTTTGATGCTATGTAAATACTAGAGAATTTGGTAAGATCATCTCAGTACTTTCTACACATGAATGGTGTACTCCAGCAGCTTGATAGCATCAAATGCACACTAAACATATTTTATTATCTGTAACCATAGTTGTGGCTCTCCTTTCCATGTCAGCCACTCAGGAGTCATAGATGATCCCATTCCTCTCTGTCCAGTTCAACACTGGTTGAGCTATTCATGTGGTGCGTATAATTATAGCAGATGGAAACGATAACTTGGCTTATCAAACATACTGCTTTTATAAGCCATAAGAAAACCTTTTGAACTTTAAAGAAAAACACTCATTCATGTGCAGCAGACTGCACCTTCTTCTCTCTGGTCCTTCATTTAAGCATTTTGCAACCTACATATTTAAATGGTTTGGTTTTCCATTCTGTGGGGAAAGGAAGGATTAGCTGCTGCTCCTTTTATCTTTTAAATGAAATCGAATATAGATGTGGATATTATATAGTCACAACTCAGCTTGTGGCTGTAGAATCTGAAATGCAAGGTGAAGATTTTGTAAATAATGATCCTTTTTGAGTTTGTTTGCGGTTAACAACCTCTGAGCTTTTTTTTAAAGGGGACAAATGAAATCTGGTTGTGCTGCTCTTATTGTCCTAGTTGGTCAGCATAGGATGCACTCAATGAGTAGTTGATTTACATCAGCAAAGGGAGCAGCTTCTGTGTGCACTGTGTAGAACACACAGACATATCCAGTGTCCGCTGCTTAGACTTTATTTAAATGTATGGATCAGTTTGTCTTCCTATCAACCATAGGTAAACTTATTCTTCCTCTATGCATGTTAGCCTATATGGCTTTTCAACCCTCTTTTTAATCCAGGTATTCCACTGTAAATTGCAGAAGTGCTATTACTGTGTTTTGGGTTTTTTAGCACAGTTATTTGTTTTAAAAAGAAAATTATGAAACATTTATCAAAACCAAACCCGTTCGGGATGCACTCTGACACTTTGCATGTTTTTTGCCTACTTATGCTACTGAGACATATTTGTACTTTTTCACAAGGTCGCTGTTCTGTTTGTCTGTATGTGAATAATGTGCTGTTGATCCAGCTTTTTATTTCAGCATGTCTACAGAAACTGGACAAAAAAGTCTTTAGACGTGTACATTACCAAAATGTACCAAATGTACACTTGGTCATTAATTCAATAGGATATTAGTGTATTTAGTTTCACCTTGAACAAGTTTACAGAAACTATTCTTATTTAGGAGTTGAGCTTTTCTTTAAACTTAGCCTTTCATGGGTTTTTTTTATTTTTTATTAATTTTTAGTATGGTGCTTCATTGTACATTGCATAGCAGTGCAATAACGTTCCATTAAGTTTCTATAATGTGTCACATCGTCTTAAGATTTTCTTATCTCAGGTCAAAGCAAAATCTGACACCAGGTTGTTTGATGTCATCAGTGCATCGTATGCTGCATGTTGTTTTCTAGTCTTAGCATTTCTGTATAGTTTGTATTTGTTTGCAAAATCATTTTCAGCATTTGATTCCTGCACACTGCTGTGTTTTTGTTAAGGCTACAAGCAGCACCAAAGCAAATGGTTAAATTAGCATGTCTCAGAGCTGGAACACATTTGCTGCATGAGTTAGAGGAATACCCTTCAGTCTTGAATAGTAACTATAACAGGACTGCCTCTGCTGGCTAGTGTGTTTTTTTTTTTTTTCTTTCTTCCCCCAGCCTGTGTGCTTGGCTATAAGAACTGCTTGGACCTAAAGTGTCAGATATCGAAGTACACAAAGTAAAAAACCACATCTGATAAAAGTCAGGCATACACTGATTACTGCGTATAGACTTGAGGACACCAGTCTATTTAACAGACTGTAGGTTTTCTTTGAATGCAGCCTTCAGCAACAAAGTGCACCTTTGGCTTTACTATAGTGTTAAGAGTGGGAGACACTTTGTGGACTAAATTAAACAACACAAGATTTGTTTATAGATGTTCCCTGTTTTTTTTGTTTTTTTCCCCCAAAAGATAATAAAAACATACCTCATGTATCAGGAAGATGTGATGCAAAAAAACTTTTTTAAACAATTCTAATATCACTGTTCCTCTTTCCTAGGATTGACAACAAAAAAAATTTTACATCCCTAAATAAATATGCAATGTTGACCTATATGCATATACTGAGTTTGTGTTTTCCTTTACTATACTACCTCACAGCACGCAACCTAAGCTTTAAAGCAGATCACACTGGAGGGCAGAGGTTTAGTTTGTTTATTCAAACAAATTTCATCACTTTTTTTTCTTTAAGAAAAATAGATGGGGAATCAATACCTTTACAAATCCAATCTATTGACATTTGTACATATAAATAAGCAGGTTTAAGTGCATCGTCTTATATAAACATTACATCAAAAAGGTATTAAACAGATCAACCACCTGAAAGGTTCATATATGATAAATGTGAAATACTCTACATAAAGAAATGCACAATCATTGTTTAAACCAACTTAAAAGAATAAAAACTTTAAAGCAAGCTGGTACTGTATTAGTTACATGGTTTTTATCATCCTACAGTGTGAACACTGATTCAGTCTTGGCACTAACAGAATTGTGAGTAATGCATACGCTGTACAGAAAGTTTAACAAAATGAAGGCAGATTTACATTGTTTCAAATGTTTTGGCCACGGCCCTAATACATAATTGTATCGCAACTAGAGAAATTTAATAAAGGCAACCCCAGTCCCGCCCAACTGCTACCCACATGATTTTCTTAGTTTAAAATGTGCATTTGTGACAGGGGTTTGAAGGACTTATTTAGAAAATAGATTTTACAGTGTACAAAAGTTACGATGATGCAGCCATCTGATATCCACCTTTACAGTCATGTCTAGTAAGTTCTCAAGTGCTCTACGATACAAACTAAGTGGTCTATGCCTCATTTGGAAAACCACAGAACATACATGTTGTTTGCACACTGCAATTCACACCTCCAATGATGAACTGTGTGTAGAATTCATTCTCTTATCCAGTCTCCAAAGACTCGTGAACACCACAGCAGAGGGAATGGGTCCATTATTCAGATTCCCGTTACCTGACAATTAGTGTATTTCCCAAATTTACATGGACTTGACAAAGTCAGCAGGTCAAATTAGCTTTAAAAAAAAAAAAAAAAAAAAAGGGGTGAATAAATATTGTGTGTAGTTTCAACCCAAATTTGGTTTTTAGGTACTAGGTATTTTCTGGTTTACATCTCCTTTGCCTTAAGCACTATGACTGATCATTAAGAAAGGATTTTAGTGTTTAGTTGTCATGAAGGACCCTCCTGAGCCAAGTAACAGAAATAGCCATTCCAATTGCAGCAACTCTTCACACTCCTGCAAATATTAACCTAAAAAACAGAAAGGGGAAAAAACAGTTACTGGTTGTTCAAGGTAATAATAATTAAAAAAAAAAAACAGGGTCAGAAAATGGAGTTAAGCAAACTTACTTTCATCATCTGAATCAAAGCCAAAGAGGGAAGAGCACGTGTTGAGGGCTTTGTGTTTCTGCAACTCCTCCAGACTACTGTAAGAGGAAAGGCATTTATCACAGCGATGTCTGATCTTATGCTCGGGGGCCACATCCTCCACCTGCTGCTCCTTTTCTGGATCAGGGTCCTTCTTTTTCTTATGACTCCAATAAATAATTTTCTTGGGAGCATCATCAGTGGACCTCCTTTTGCGCATTGAAAGCACAGATTCATCCAGGTAGGTGGATGGAGGTGGCCGGATGAAAGGGGCCTTAACAAAAGTTGCGTAGGAGGGATCTTCGGGCTTGAAGGTTTTGTGCTCAGGAATGTGTGGCTCTGCTATATTCTGTTGGACTCCCTCGGCCAAAGTAGAAATATCTTCAAGATCTCTGACGTTTAAAGGGTCTACCTCGACAGTAGTTGGTCTTTTTCGACATCTTTTGGTGGGAGTCGCTGAAGCAGCGTTAGTGTGAGAAGTGGACATAAACCCCTCTGAAACATTTGTTTTCACATCTTCATATCCATTGATGGTAGGTTTGGTATCATCTGTGTGCTGATCTGCAACAGTTTTCTCTGAATAGTTATCAGACTTAAGAAGATTATTGTTTTGCGCATTTATTCCACCAGTCTCACCATCAGTTTTGTTTATTAGTGTGAGATCCTCAACACGAGAGGCCTCACCATCAGGAATGGGACTCTCCTGCTGCCCCTTTTTACTCTGTAGCCATATCTCCTCGACCTTCACTCTCTGTTTCCATGGAGCTTCAGCGCTTTCCTTTATCAGTTTGCTGGGTCCCAATTCTAGCTCGTCTTTCTGCGGGACTGGGACATAGTGCCTCCATTCATGGTCATATAGACCCAGATAACTTGAGAAAAGTTTCTCACAGCCACTGAAAGGACACTGAGGTCGGAAGGGCTGGTGGGTATTTACGTGATCCTTTAATTCCTGCTGTGTCACAAAGCGCTGCTTACACTCTAGATGGTAGCAGAAGTGTGGAAGAGGACTACTGTGGCTCTTCATGTGGTCCTTATAATGCTGAAGAAACTGAATCTGCCTGTTGAGAGAGAAAAAAAAAACCGTGCGCAACATGCTGAATCAACTTCCCAAATTCAAACCCTTTAACTGTACATGTATGGAGTCTTTTAGTGTTTTACAATCAGTTAAGAGACCGCCTTTATTTATTTATTATTTTTTTTTAATATCTGCAGTTATTTAAAGTTCTCTTACCTGAGGCAGAGGGTGCACTTGTGTTTGGCCCAAACAAAAGTCTTCTCTAGCACCTTGTCTTCAGTAATATGGCATTTGATAGCATGCTTTGTTAGTGTGTTGGTCATCCTCAAGAATACTCTATCGCAGGAGTCAGACGGGCACAAGTGGTATGTGATGTCTGCACCACAAGCATTTTCTCCCGCAGGCGTCTCCTGCCCCTCTTCTTCAATCACAGATGGATTACTTACAATTACCAGGCCTTCTTTAATGATTACCTGCTCATCCTTAAAGTCGATCTGTTTGAATACATTTGTGTTAGATTTTTTGCATTTTTTGTGAAGCACAGATGTCTTCTTGATGAGGGTACGGAGGTTCCTGATGATTCGTTCTTCCCTCTTGAGATGTGACACTTTAGCTTTGCTTCCGGGTCTCTGTCCAAAAGTTTCGCCCTCAGAAATAGAAGTCTGTTTTTTATCCCAAGGCTTACACTTATTTCCTGCATTGTCTATTACTCCATTAGCAGCTTGAGCATTTTCAATGGATGGCTCCTTATTAGAAGATTTTTGTTTGCACATTGTATCAATGTGCTCAAGAATGTGCTTTTTGGCAAAAGGAAGCTGTTTGAAGCGTTTTCCGCAGAGAATGCATCTTAGTTTCCTACTTTTGAGGTGCGAGAGAGCATGTCTCATAACATTCAAGCCTTTGTAGTCTTTGCCACAGAATGTGCAGTAGTGGGACAAATGAGAATATTGTTGAGTACGGAGAGCCCTGTCCTTCCATGTTCTCTTAACTTTTACCTGAAAAAGAGAAAAGTCAAATCAGAGCTGGAAGTAGCAGAGCATCAATTCACATGTCACTGCATGCAAAACTGTACTTCTCCTGAAGTGTATATGTGCAATCAAATGCAACCTAATATGAAGAAAAGAGAACATACTTCAAATATCTCCCCGTAATAATTGACTTTCATAACAACATTTCTTAAATTACAGTACTGTGCAAAAGTCTGTGGTCCCCAGCAGTGATGGGATTAACAGCGTTACAAGCAACGGCGTTTCTAATGGTCATTAGAAAAGCCTACCAGATCGTCTACCAGAAAGTGATTGGTGCCCGCGGGAGCGCGCGCAGCTGCTTAAGATTACAAAGCAACAAGGTGATATGTACCTAGGGCTGAACGATATATCGCATTTGCGATAATATCGCGACATGATCAAGTGCAATTTTCTAACCGCAAAGGCTGCGATTATACTCTGGACATGTCCAAATTCATGGGCTGCATCCTCCTG